TTGAGTTTCTAAAGGCTAGGATCTTAAAATTCACAAAATGAATGGTCTAGATTCGTTTTTGGATTGGAGTCATTTTGACCATATCTAGGGTTCAAATTGAACTTTTTTATTTTGGGAGGATTAATTATTGAGATGAAGACAGTGTGTGTGTAAAATTAGGGCTCATACAAATATCATAAACGTGGTTTACTAGAAGTGTCTTTTGATGGGATTAACCCACTAACTCATATGAACATATGAGCCCAACGGCCCGGATTGATTATAGGCCAATCTGACGATCACGGATATCCGATAGTACCTGAATTTTAGTTTTTTTTTACGTATCCAAATTATTTAAAATTTTATATATGTGTTCTTCTCATCAAGGCACACCAAATAAAAATATAAAAAATATTATTTGCAAAGAATAAAATGACCAAAATACCCTTGAAATATTTCAAGGGTATTTTGGTCATTTTATTTCATGTAAAATATTTTTTTGATATTTTTCGAAGATTCATCTATTTTTTATGAACACACGTATAAAATTTCGAGTGATTTGGACCCGTAAAAAAAACTAAAATTCAAACACTACCAGACATCCGTGATCGTTAGATCAGTTCAGAATTAATATGGAACGTTGGGCTTATATGTTCATATGAGCTAGTGGGCTAATCTCATATTTTTTCATATATATATATATATATATATATATGGGAAATGATCTAATGTAACGGTTGTACAGTAGTATAATGCAACCACACCTTTAGAAAACCATATTTTTGACATTTGTATGACCCCAAATTTTGCACACACATTCTCTTCATCCTCATAATCAATCCTATAGAAAAAAATTTCAATTTGCACCCTGGATATGGTCAAAATTAGTACCCATCCAACAATAAATCTCGACCATCCATTTGATGAATTTCAAGATCTAAGTCTTAACAAATTCAAAATAATATTTTGTTTTTTAGCAATATTAATCTAATGATGATAATGCTATATAAAAATTTTGGGAATAAAAAAATCCTTCTGAGGCCTATATCTAGCCATCTAAATAAAATGGTCGGCTTATATTAATTAGTCTAGTGAAAAACTTTCTAGATCATTTTTTCAAAATTTTCTCTCTTGTGATTGTTTTTCAGAATGAAAATATATACATTTAAAAATTCGTGTCACACAAATGTCTCTAACGTAGTTTTTGAATATAGTTGCATTATACAACGGTAGAACCATTGCATGAAATTATTCTCCTATAGATATATAAAAGTAATAATCCTATGAGACCCTCCACATCTATGTGTGTAGGACCCCAAAGGATCACCATTAAATTTGTCATAGATATCTAGAAAAGTTATGACATAGGTGTGGGACTTGTTTTCTTGAGATATGTGGCAAATTTAATGGTGATCCTTTGGGGTCTTATACATATGTTAAAATTTCAATTTTACCACTTATGGAGATGACAAAAATACCTTTTGTCTTATAATAATATTTACAAAATTGCCCCACAAAAGTATCTTTTTTAAAAAAATACACTTCAAAATTAATAAGTCCACCATTCACAACTCTCT